AACTTGAGGTGACACCTAAATGAAAGAGTTTGGCTGTAATCTTTTTGGAAGTCATCCACTTGATCTCTGAAGAATGATTAATGAGTCTGCAAATCAGAACAAGATTTACGAAATTATATCACAGAGAAATATGCTGCAGAAAATTGCTTGGAGATGAGTTGAAGTCCCGATTGAAAAGCACAACAACCATAGACGTGGTTTATTTAATTACCTTGTGGTCCACTGACATTAAAAAAAGTCGATAAAGATCTCACCAGTATCAGTGCAGAAGCTGCAGAACACGGGAAGGAGGATAAATCATATCCAGATTCCATTAGTTACTCCGGTGGAAGTTAAAAGCCCGAAGGAGAAAACTTCTAATTTGATTTATCGTGTCCTCCCACCCATCGACATGGAAGTGTGCAGGACAGGAAATGATGGGCAGCGACGGGGGTGGTGGGGGGGGGCGGGTACCGTGTCAGGTAAACTGGCGACAGATGGGCCGTGTTCTAACCATGACGCTGGATTTCCTGGTCAAACAAACAGTCCCCTTGTAAAGTTTAAAGAACCAGAAGGTCAGTAGTTCGATGTCCGGCTCCTCCAGTGTCCTTGGTGGTAGGACATTGAGCCCTCATTGAGAACAGTGCGGTTGGGTGAATGTGACTTGTAGTATGAAGTTCTTTGAGTGGTCGTTGGAACAGCGCTTAATAAAAGCCATTTAACCGTTAACCGTAGTCATGTGTTATGTGACATGTTCTCATTTTAAATTCCTCCAATTATTTATTTCCAGATATATTAAGACACAATAACAGATCTGAGGATGGTCGGTGCAGTGTGTTCCTCTCTTTGTGTTGAGTCACACAAAGCTTGTACGATCACGTTATCTTAGAAATATTTCAAAGACATGTTGTGTGGTAACTTTTTAAAGACATAGACACCGTCCTCCGTCCTGCGTGTCTCTGCCGTGTCTGGATACAACCGACCTGCCTCAACCAAAACTCTGTGGAGCAACTTCCAACAGCTGCCAAAAAAGGTTTTATTGATTTTAAGCTTATTGGGTATTTGTCAAGGCCTTTATCTTTTTACCTGTTTAATCAATATTTATATACATATATATATTTATTAGTAGTACTATTATCATTGTGATATTTTAGAGAGTTATTGTACTTTTGAGGCGGGGGTTTTCTGAGCAGACATCTATTCCTCTCTTGTTCATTGTTTAAGCAGTTGTGGCTTCGTACCATGTGACAAACTAAGACTGAAAATTGAAATGAAAACCTCATTTCTAAACCACTGTTGTTGTTGTTGTTGTTGTTGTTGTTGTTGCTCTCAGAAATGCGTCGACTGGGTTTGGACTGAACTGAGTGACATCTGTGTCTAGGTGTGTTTTTTTTTTTTTTTAAGCTTCGGAAAAACTCTCATATTAAAAAAATTAGTGAGTTGACAAATGAGTCACTTTAATGAGTTTTCCTCTCCTCACCAGCTCGTCTGTCTCGTCTGTTTGTCCTCTTCTGTTTCTGTGTGTTCTGGACCTTCGCTCTCATCTGCAGCCTGAGACTCGGCACCGCCGTCGTCCCTCTCTTATGGAAATGACCGTCTCACGGCGAAGGCCACACTCCATCTCACTTTCCAGTCTGCGTCAGTCCACATTACCGAGCCGACACGATCTCAGCGGTGCCGACTCCATCGCTGCGCTTTTACAGTAATGTATGAATTCCAGCTGATGCTTGGACACCGTGAAAGAGGTGCAGGGGGATTTCTCTGGAGCTGCTTTGACGCAGAGCGTGACTTTGGCAGGATTCCTCACCTCTGGCAGCAGAGGCGGCGAAACCTCTCAGATTAATCTCCGGGAGTGAGCTATTTGAAAGTGAAGGACGCTGCCTGTTCCTGTTTAGCATTTATCAGATTTGCCCTTTGGTGCCTGGCAGCCAATTAGCGGAGCCATTATTCACGTCTGTGCCCCTTTTGGTTTTTCCTCCCGCTCGCAGGCTCTCACAAGTGTCGGCCACAAGTACGCACCAGCTGCACAGATGGAATGAACATACGTAAAATCACAGCAGCTGCCCTGATGAGAAAATATAATCTGTTATGTTTTTTTTTCCAGAAGCATTATGGGTAGCACACAGATCACTGAATTGGAGATTCAATCACACAACAGGCTGGAAAACATCACCACCGGTCCCCCTGATATTTCAATAATTGTTATCAAGCAATCGTCAACTTGTTAAGTCCCATATCTCCCTTGCAGTACGTTGACTTGAATCTGTATCAGCGCTCACTTATGGATTAAATGGAGCGCTTTATTGCTGTACAAGATAACCGCTCCGATGCATTTTTTGGGCAGAGATGGAAAACCCATTAAACTGCAACAGAATAAACCTGTCAACACTGAGAATGGGGTTTGGATTGAAGCAGGAGAGGAAACAGCAGTTTTTGAAATAAAATCTGACTTTTATTGGTAGATATGGAGTTTCTTTTGTTTATAAGGGTGGTGTAGATCTGTAGGAATCCAGAAAATGTTTTTATGTCTTTTTTGGGAAGTAATTTATAAAGTAAATCTTAATTTTACAACTTCCCATTTTCACCTCAAGGCTTTAAAGACCTAACCTTGAGCTCTTGTTACCTATCGTGCTTAGTTTTGGCTGTTTTCTATCATTTGTAGACTAACGGGGAAAAAAAGAGCAACTAGAATGAATCTCAGCGCCTTGAATTCAATCCTGTTGCAAAAACTATCCCACATTCAAAGATATCAGTTCCCTAAAAGTGTTTTCTTTAAGATCCATGAATTATTTCCTCTGGAAATGTTGAAAAACACCCAAAATCTTCCAAGATTCCTAGATCCGCACCAATCTTGCTAACAAACAAACGCACAGGGGTGAAAACATAACCTCCCTGTCATTAGTTGTGATCAACCAAAGCTTGAAATGTCAGCGATCATTTCCCTACACGTCTTAGTAGTACAGGTCACACGGCCGATGTTAGGTGAAGAGAAGCCGGATAATAAAAACACATCCTGTTGAACCTGCTTCTTGAATCTCATAGGAAATAAACGGATTGGTTGTCATCATGTTTCTCACAGTGAGACTCCGCAGCAGGAAAGAGCCGAACCGTAAAAAGAAATATGAGCAGTAACCCATGGTGAAATATTACAGCAGCGGTGGACGTATATTAGCATGTGACGGGTAACCAGGCGATTAAACGAAGTCCTACAAAGTGCATACACTGGGGGGGCTCCCCTGACCTTTGCCTGTGTGTTCAACATCAGTGTGACAAACATGCAACATCTGCAGCGCTAACAAGGCGCAGGTCGTTCAAAGGTGTGGGACGCTGCGGCACAGACGTTGCGTGACGAGAGACCAGCGCCATATTTTCGGAATGAAACGGGAAAAAAACATTTGACAACGCATTCGTTTTACTGTCTGAAAGACACGACCCTCTGCAATCATGTCTCCCGTCAGACGCTCCACCTGTTTGTGAGACCCTCTTTGTGGCTCACCACACTCATTAAGTTAATTTACAGCTGAAGCTCTGTCGTGGGGATAGTAAAGGATGCGCCTCATCTCCATTTAGCGCTCACCCACCTCCTTCCATTCTTCTTCTCCTCCCAACAGTGATGGGCATGCCAACGGGGCCAATGAATACCCTGCATCCCTCCGGTGGGCTGACATTTTAATTGAAGAGGCGTAAATCACGCTCCATTGTCAGGGAGAGGGGTAATTATTTCCCTCTGGCTGTTTTTCCCTCTTTCTCCGTTTCACACATTTCGGATTTAACAATAAGCTGCACTTTCAGTTTTAAAGCCTAAATCCCTTCACGTCCGGGCTCATACCTGCAACTGACATGTGACACTCAGGCTAGGGGGAGTAACACAAACGCACCCATTCATGAAAATGCAAACGGGGCATAATGTCTCTCTGCGGAGCTCAGCGTGGAAACACAGTCAATCAAAGACCGCGGCGATCATTTATCCGGCCGAGCCAAGTTGTTCGAGACTCCTGACTCCTCTGGTTTGGGCCCGTGTTGAAGCTACGTCTGTGTTGGCAGCAGGGATTGTGTTGATGCAGGTTTGGTTTGGGTCAGCATTTTTATTATAAACTCTCTCTCCAATGAGCCCATTTAATGGATTTATTTTTTTTTTTCAAAGGGGCTGAAAATTATATGTACAAGACGGCTTTGCATGCTTCTGGTTTGTGCTTCGGTCGACAAAGCCATATCCAAATCTTCTGTTTTTCATGGTTGACCACATCGGATGAAGATTGTTATTACTTTACGAGGATGACAGTTGAATGTACTAAATGGTCGAGGAGGTTTGAGAGGGAATGTCTGTAACATCGGGACAGATCAGCACTTTTTAGCCGGGCTCGCTGCGTTGTTCTTGGGGCGGCGGTGTGGTTTCTCATGGTCAGTCCACCACAATGGTCAGGATTGAAATATTTCAACAACCACTCACAAAATCATTGAATATTCTTTGTGCACAGAGAGGATAGACCCGACTGACTCTGACATTCAAGTCCCCCTCAGGATAAAGTTGAATTACTTAAGCGATCCTGTAATTTTCCCAATAATGTTGTCAAACAAGTGTGATCTGCCATCGCTGTACTTTGAGTTTATTTAAGTAGTCTGAGGAGAGTGATGTGTTTCGTGAACAGTGGAGCATGTGAACAAAAGAATATGAGCAGAATTTCTCTTTTTAAATCTGTTTTAATTCATATCATCCTGTGAAAATCATATATTGTTAGATTTGTCTGATTGTGTTCGAACTCTCAGGCTTCACCCTCTCTCTCTCTCTTGTTCTCTGTGTGTGTGTGTGTGTGTGTGAGGTACGTGTCGTCCACCTCATGTTCTGAGCTGTACATGTAGTTAACAGGAGGGAGGTGGGGGACGATCATGTCAGGGAGGGGTTTGGGAGGAGGAGAAGAGGGAGGCGGAGGGGAGGACGGGGGCTTGAGTGGAGAGTGTGTAATAGGACACCAGCCCTCTCTCTGTCTTCTCGCTCTCCTCCCTCTCTCCTCTCCTCCTCTCTCCCTCACTCAGTCAAGCCGGCTGTGTGAGCACTTAGATGGAATAGCAGCATTTTTCTTCTGTGGTGTCACTGGAGGAGACTGGAAACAACGTGGTGTGAAAGGAAGGACCCAGGTCGGGGTTTGGTACCTGGCTTCTTCGAGCGGGACCCACACCGGAGCGAGCTCCTGGAAGGTGAGTCCTGGTCCGAGGACTGATCTTTAATCCTGTTTCTATCTGCTGTTCTGAGCTGAGGCGGGATGCAGAGAGGCGGTGGTGGGCTTCAGGCTTAACAGGTGCAGAGTCCAACCAGTGAGGAGGACCTGACTCAACCTGACGCTCTCACAAATTTCACCTTTAAAGATCTTGTGTATTATTATTCCACCCGTCTGCTCTGGCTCGCTTGATTTCCCTCACTGGATGCACTGTCTACAAATTTCCTGATTATGAGACATGACTTTGTTGCAGCTGAAAATGTGTTTGGGGCATTCAGCTTTTAAAAGGTCGACCTTTGTCTGCTACTATAAAACACGTTCTTATTTGTGAATGTGAAAGCCGACTTTCTTAGATCACAGGGTGTGAACGCTGCCATCACAAGATCCACACGCTGGTTGGAAGTTTTGATACTTCAAACACACACACACACACACACACACACACACACACTTTGCCGTGCCCTGTAGGCGTGTGTGACTGTAACAGATCCACTGACAACTGAAGGACGGAGGGTGTGGTATGAACACACATCGTCCTCTTACAGACGGGACAGGGAGCGACTTGTTTACAATTTCAGTTTTAATTCTCGCCGGCAAAAATAGACAGACATTACAGAATAATTTGATCCATCAAACCTAAATTTAGAGAACTTACTCCCTGAATTTCCCTGTCCCCAAATTGTGTTCATGTGTTTAAAGCATTAACACGAGCCAAACAATTACTGAGCCAGTTTGGAAAAATGAAGGGAAGAGGAAAAAAGGGGTATTTGCTTGTACAGCTCTGCCGTTTTCAGCTATCAATATCAATCAATATTAGTTTTTGAGCAACGCATGTGGAAGAGAAAGTGAGATGGAAAATTCATTCGGCTGTCGGCCAAGGAATGCAAAATAAACACAATTATCATTACACTGGAAACGCAGCTCCGCACTCACTCTCTGACCTCCTTTGAGCAGACACATTTAATTACCCTTGCAGAGATGCGAAGAGTCTGTGCTGGAATTTCTGGATTTTGATGAACTCTAGAAAATAATTCAAAGTATCTATTATCTCTTTCATTCCTGGCAACAAACTGTGAAGCATCTCTTAATGGGAGACCATTACGGGGCTTCCTCAGAGAGGCGGGCAAGCACATTAGGGCCCTCGCGTTACGATGATCAAAGAAATCGAGGCGTTTGTGAAACTGAGATAGAGTCTAAACCTGATCTGGTGGGGATGTCACAAGACGCTCAGAAGGTGACTTACTCCCCGGATGATGAGTTCAGCAGCTGTGGGACCAACGTTTCTGTGCCAGAGCTTCAGCCGGGGGGAGATCACCCACCTCTCCCAGCCTGCAGGGGGGGGGTCGAGCCACTTTACTAAATTATGCCATTTTTCACACTTTGTGGTACCTCGACCCCGTCACCGGACAAGAATGTCAACACTGGACATTTCTGCAAATCCCCACATTGGACAAATTTTTACTTTCATAACGTCCAATTCCTAAAATCCCCCAAAACACTTGGTTAGGATTAGAGAAAAGCTTGTGGTTAAAGCAAACAATGTGACGTGCCATTAAGGACAAACACACACACACACACACACACACACACACACACACACACACACACACACCCTGACTTGTTGCCTCACGATAGATACAATAAAAAAAATTTAAAAAAGCTTTTTACTGCACTGGCACCGATCTGTGGCATTGGATATAAACTCGTGACATATGGAATTAATGAATATGGATGTAATTTTCTTATTTTCCGGACCCATTACTGTGGATAATTCACAGACCACAGCGTTTTACACTGGAACTAATGTGCACCAGAGAAATTGGTATTTTTCCCAAAACTGTATAGTTAAAACTCTCGTCAAACTTTAAATGACCCTTTTGTTAAATGTGGATTTGAAACTTGGACTAGTCTTGACTTCATTAAGTTGAAAAAAAAAAAAAAAAGAGCACAGCTCGGTTATTTATCTACAAATGCTGCATCTTTCTGAAAAATCTTATCAGCGGAGCACATACCTCCACCATGATTCCCAATTCAATCAAGCTGCAACAAATTACACAGAGTCATTGATATCAGTTCTCTAAATACGCCTGATCTTTCACAATCTATGAATTATGAAATGTTGCAATGGCAAAGAAAGTGGAAAAAAACAACCCTGCATCTGCACCAAAATGTGTTGAGCTCTTGCCTCACTCATGCTGCATCCTTCCACCAAGTTTATATCTGCTCAGTTGTTTTTCTGTCGTCTTGCTTACATACATACAAACTAACCAGACCAAAGCTTTGTGCATGACCAGACACCACTAAATGCAAGTGGGGACAACAGAGACGTGGGTTTCTGTCATTTCTGGCGAAACCGACCCTGTAAGAATTAGGGACAGAAGCCAGAACAGGACGAGGGCTGTCCTGAGCCTCGGGCTAAAGCTGCAGACGCCCGAGCTGAGGGAGGCTCTGGGGGAGGGTGGGTTGGTGTGTGTGAGAGAGAGATGCAGTAAGACGGGGGCTGCAGTACAGCAGCCGGCTGGTTAAACCCCATGCTGTTTCATTCCTCCTCATGCAGCCAGAGAGATTCCTTTCCTCTGCACTTCTCCATATGTTGTCCTCATGCACCTGAACGGTAGAAGTCCGTCTCTGCTGTAAATCAGTCACGCTGCACTTCATCACACACGCCCATATCTCAGCCTATTTGTACACTAAACCCGAGACTGAAATTTTCATTGCAAACGTGCAGGTTTCTTATCCGTGGCCCATCAATTTTTCAGTGCACATCTATAAGCCATGAGAGCAGGGATCCACCCTCACGTAAAAAAAACATTTATTTTGTTTTTTTGCATGTAACAAAAGGCTCGTTTTCATCTCTATAGTGCAAATGTCGTTTTTGTCCCCCCTCTGGCAGCGCTGCAGCCAGTTTGGGTTTAAGCAGCCAAGTGTTTCTCCAGCAGTGGAGTTTTGGATTGCAGGAGTTAGCGCCCCGCAGGCAGTACACTACCTGCCGCCATCAATAATTGAGCCTCTCCTGCCCTGATATAGAAAAGGAACCAGAGAGGGCCGAGGGGAGAGTTTCTGCGGCAGCTCTTTTGTGCAGATTTAACTCATCCATTTTTAAGAGAGTTACATCTGCAAGGATATCGTAAGAGATTCGACCGACATGTTGTGCCCCGGTCTACAGCATGTCTTCATTCAGTGCAGTTTGGGCTACACCTCAATTTTTTCGACTATAAAACTTGTAGGAAATCTTAGTATCTTTTTGTGTTGAAATAAGTTTTTCTTGTTGAAAAATGAGACTTGTTCTTGTGGCAGCCTATTTCTTAATTTTACTCTTTTCTTTAAACCATCTGCTAAAGCGCCTTTGCTGATACCGCCACAAGGGGGCACCAGTCAAATCCTTGCATAGTGGCTTTAACTGGGCTTACTGAAGGTTGTGTGTGTGTGCGCGTGCACGTGTGCTTTCAGTATGTTTTAGCTACAGTCAGTGGTTATCTGGTGTCTGTTTATAGCTTGTTTTTCTGCCAGAAGGTCAATAAACGACAATATGATCATATTTCAACATCTATCACGGCTCTGTCATGCAAGACAAAATATCAACAACTGTATTTTGCCAGATTTTAACCTAGACATGTCCTCAGGTTTGTTTCCAGTAGATTCCTATCATGAAAGCTCTTCTGGTATAATGATAGTTTTACATTTCCATTAGCAGAAGAAAGAAAAGGCTGAAGGCAAAAGTGATAAAACCCAACATGCGATTATCTTTATAGTCAATTTGCAACAGTATGATTTCAAAAAGTTTGGAAAACTAAGTCCCTGATTTCCTCTCCGAACTCCCTCCAACAGGCAGCGGTGACCGGTCGTAGATCCCGAGCGGCGGCGCAGTCATGGGCAGGCCGGAGGTGGTGACCAGGCCACCTCTGGTGTCAGCTGTGTTACTCTCCCTCCTGGCTCTCTCGCTCCTCTCCACCGAGGTCTCCTGCCTCCCACAGCCTCTGCCGAGAGTCTTCCTTACTTTCGAAGGTAAGAAGAAGTATGCACACCTGAAAATGATTGTAAACCGTCCACATGGCCTCTATCCGCTTGTTGTGTCTCGCTGCAGATGGAAGAAAGTTGCACTGGAGCCATGTGTTTAGCGCTAATGTTAAACAAATGGCTGATAATCAAGGTTAGCCGGGGGCTACGTGATAATGGAATAACGGCTTACTTAGGCTTTGCAGATCTTATGTAACAATGCAGTTTTTTTTGGATCACAAATAGTTTAACTTCTCCAACTCAAACACACCTCAGGCCTTGAAGCTGTTTTCGGACTGGCCTCCTCCAGTCGTTGTCCTGTTGTATGTAAGCAAAGAGTCAAAGCTCTGCAGGAGGTGGAGCTGCTCATCAGACCGTCCCTGGATCTGTTCCTAGTTAAACTTTAATCACAGCACTCTGTGCTACATGCCTGTGGGTATTGTTGCTGCCTCTGGTTCGGATTCTCCTGTTTTATTTAATTTCTTTGACTTAGATTATTTTATGAATTTTTGATGTTCCCTTGAAGTGAGAGTGTACTTCAGTGGTAAGCGGGTTCAGGATAAGTGTGGATGAGATGTCCGATCACTCATGCCCCTGTGAGTGTTAAAGAAACCTTTTTGCAGTGGTTGGATCGTGTGCAGGGGCAGACGGAGACATTTGATCCCCTCTCACTACGTCTTGCTGTTGATCAGGCCTGGAGATGTTCTGATACCAGATAATGCCGAAGATTACGGATCAGGCTTCGGCGAGTATGCAAATCTATGGACCGATCCAATGCCACGTCTTTGGAGTATATTAGTTTCACCCAGATAACACTGCAATTTTCTTTTCCTGGAAATCACTTCTACTTCAAGAAGTGATTTCCGGTGGAGTAGCGTTAGCCAGAGCTAGCTCAAATGTGAGTAATTTGACAATATTTCATGCTGGAAAGTCCAGCAGGTAAAATTGTGATGTGAACCATATGCAAGACTTTTGTTTTGAAGGGTGGTGCTAGTGTTGGCAATTACAACTCTCTACTTTATTGAAGTCCAGGTATCGTTTTAGGTGAAAATGGTTTATCTGAACATCTCTAATTAGATTTCACAGAGCAGCTGAGACTGTCCATCACTCATTCAGACAGTCAGAAAAAGGCAAACAATGTGGCGCTGAAGCTGCCGCACTTCTGTTTTGTTTTCCATCCTCCGACTGAGACTAAATATGCCATGTGCCACGTCTTTCCCCAATTTGAGCTCATTCTTTCCTTGCACGCTCATAGTGTCATTCCTGCATATTTTCCCTTTGTTCTCCTTGGATTATTGTTTATTGTTTTATTCCAAATGTCTGAACCAGCCTGTCCTCATGGTCGACTCTGTTTCAGCTCGCCACGCTGTGTGAGTCATTAAATGACCACTGAGGGGGGAAAAAAAGGCCCAAACCACCGACTGAATGAAAGAAAACCATCACTTTCTTCGGTTTTAAGCGCTCTAGTCATGTTATTCACTCACTCCTCAGTTTCCAAATAGCCATTTTAAAAGGTCAAAGGTCACAATACTGAAAATGAGCCAATCTCTGTAATCCTGCAACACGTTATTCCCAGTGCAGATTTGATTTGATTCATGTATTTACTGTAAGCGTGTTTCTCCTCGGGGAGCACCATAAAAGGACAGTTTGACTGCAGAGAACCATTTCTTTAACAGACTCTTGACTTCAGTCTTAATGGGTGTTTAGATGTGTGTGTGTTTTTATTGAGCTGTAATTAGAAGAATGCATTTAGGTGAATTTATGAGTCAAGACCAAGCAGACGATGGGTTGTAAAGTAGCAGGGTGTATATCCAAAGCTATAAACAGCCAACTTCCGTGTAAATTCATATTATACTGCAACTCAGGATCAAGCACTTGAGCTTAAAGAAATGAGAGGTATGAGTCGATACCCATTTTTGAGCTGAGGAGGATGAGGGTCATAACTCCCTCTTGTCTTCAGGGGAGAGTTCAGCATGGGTGAGCACCAGATGTATGGAGACTCGTAGGGCCTGAGGTGGAGGCTCGTTTCTTCTATAAACACTGGTCTCTGTACGCAGGGAAGAATTCAGAGAGTCTGGGCTCAATCCAAAGCAGCCAGGAAGATGAACGGCAAGTCATAGTCGAGGGCGGGAGGAGCAGTGTCCCTGTGGGGGAAGAGAGCGCAGGTGTTTTGGCACCTGCTGGGTGGCCAAAAATTTAGTCCCGGAGTGTGAATTCTTCTGCCGCCAGATGTGCAAACTGAGCTGGAACTAACTAAACCAAGAAAATAAACTGGCGAGTCAGACGCTCGTGTTGTACATAGATCTAGACGCTTGGATATCCTCACCCTTTTCCTTCTTCTGTCACTGCTGAAATCCAAACCAGGGGTAAGGCAGGTTCATGGGACTCCCGGCGTAAGCCCCCCGTCCTGCGGAGAAGTTGCTGTCTCTGACATTCCTCTCTGCCTCACTCTGCTTACTCGTGTGTTCTGCAGGCGAACGCAGCCAGGCCACAATTAAAACCGCATAATAAACAGTGAAAAATGCAACTAACCCAAATAATAAACTCTCAAGCAGTGCCTTTCTCTTCCGTGCCTCGGAAAATAAACACAGGCTCACACCAGAACTTTTCTGATAACAGATAATAACTCCTCAACATTTATTTTGGCCTGCTTCATGGCATGTTCAATGTATTCTCTGTATAAGACCAAGGCCGAAATGCAATTGTGTGCACAAATTTTCTCTCAGAAACAAACTTTAAGATTGATTTTAGAGATTTTGTAAAGCCTTTTAAAAACTCTTGATATTTATTGGTAATAATGGAAGTGGTCACATCACGACGAGATGAACAGTAACGGTGTTTTTTTCTTTTATAGCAATGAAACCAAAACACTTCCAAGAATTCTGGCTTGTTTTAAAAATGGAGCAGCCCTGAACTCTTACGTATTAGTCTACGAGAGAAACTTGACCTTATTACACTAATTCGACAATTGAATGACATGTTACTTCTTAGATGATTAGCGTTAGCATATAGTGCTCATGGTCTCGTGGAGCATTGTCCATAACTAGCCTACTGAAATCTGTTAACAATTAGCAATCAAGAGTTTGCTCTTGGTTAGGGGTCAACTACAAGAAGGTGCAGCCCATTGTACTTACTTGTCTTATTTTATCGGACTGTGGGGACTGGAGATTTAACTTGATTCCTGTTTAGTACCATATAAAATCTGTGTTGTCTCACAGAGTATCAAAAATCGCCAACTAACGAAAAGCTGTATTGGTTTTAGTCAATAAATTACCAATGGTAGACAGTTTAACTCAGGCTGTCTGTGATGACAGCGTAAACATAGTACTGCTAATTAATTTTAAACATTATAAAACAGCTTTCAGATTTTTCCATACTTCTAATGTTTGTTCAGACAACGTACAGCTTTACCAAAGACATTAAGCCACTGTTCCTTTTGGTATAGTGTTGACACTACCATATTACCTCCTGCTGGTCTAATGCTGTAAAGCAATATGATGCTTATTAGTTTTGCTACTGTATCCGCAGTTGGCTTCACTGATGCCAAAATTCCTTTCTAGAAAATGTGGATCAACAATTCAGCCTCATTTATCCCGCAGAGTTGGCAGTTGGGGAAGTGGTCTGCGTTCACGATCAGGATCATTTAATCTCATCAGTGGTCTCACCCTGCTCTGGCAAACCTCCAGTATTCAATCCAGAAATATATACAGTATGTGTGTCAAACCCTTAAAGATGTTTATTTGAGAGTGAACGGGGCCATTCATAAGCTCTCGAGTGGATAATGTAGATTTTTGGACACGCAGGAAAGATTGATTAAGATGATGTGTGTGGTTTAATTAGCGCTCGCTCACACCGGTATGAGCCACATGGGCTTCGATGGCAGCCTGAACAGAACCAGGCATGGTGATCAGGAACCAGGCCTCAGAGAGCAGATACACCGGATCCCTCCGCACTTTCATCAAGCCTCATTACTACTGTAACTCCACTCGCTCCCCATTATTGAAAGGGGAGTTCATACGCTGCGATGTTTACTTGGTGGTGAGGGTTTTCAGCAGTGTGTCTATGTCAATATAGTCTGAGAGTGATTGTGTGTATTTGTTCGTACTATGAGCCTCAATGTGCATTCTTTGACTTTATTAAATTTCAGTTGTTTAACTTTCTCCTGAGTCATTGTTGAAGCTATGTGGTTTTTAGTTTTGCAAGCTACATACAGTTCTGAAACAAAATCTACATGGTGGTGCAGCAGATACGTCGAATACAGGGTTTCCACAGATTATATATATATATATAATCTTTCCCACAGCAAAGCAAAGCAAAAATTCCAGACTGGGTGGTCATTGTTGGTCTTTCTTCTTCTTTTTTTTTACAGTTAAGAAATAACTAAAAACATATTTCTCTTAACTTAAATTTTAAATAATTAAGACTTACCTGAATGACTTAAAGATCTACTATAGGCCTTTAATTAACATTCCATTAATCTGAAAAAGGGAGTCTTTGCTGATTTTACGTCAACCTCTAGGTGATGAAATGTCCCAGCTTTAAAACAAAAATGAGTAGAAGAAAGAATCATTTGATGCATAGGTCTTCTTTTCCTACCAGGTCTTCTTAGCCCTTTGAAGGATTCTTTAAATGGGCTGTTTAACGTATCCAGTGAAACAGGCAGCAGAAGTGGACGGGTCACGGTTTGTTGTGGTCTTTTGGGGTCAAGAAAAAGGTCAGAGAGTTGAAGATCAATGCTGTCAAGTCGCCTAAGGCAGATGAGAAGGTCGTCAATCTGTGCCTTCAGGCTAATTCTTTTCTAACATGCGACAGCTTCCTACCTCTGTCTTATATTAGATCTGCACATTAGCAACTCTGTTTTCCAGTGGTAAACATAATGAAGCCAGTGAAGTAGAATCAGTGATGCTCTGTGGTCATGAAGAATTCTTGGCAGGGCAAAGCATGGGCCTGTCAAAGCTGTCAGCAAGGGCATACAGAGACATGCTGCAAATAGCTGTAGGTTAGCAATG